ACAAAAAAGCAGAACCTAAACGCTACCTATAACATTGGGTTAATTATTCCTTGACATTTTGTTGATTAATGAAAAATTGCATTGAAATGGATGCTTGATTTTGTGGTTTAATCAAATGATATATTCAAGTCAGCACAAAAATTCATTTATATTTAAAATATCCTCTTCAATTATACTCGCCGTCACGTAAAATTGGTACCATGTTTTTGGTTGATTTTTTTTTAAATAACAACCGCATTCATTCGAGATGACGTTTTTCATTTAGCGGAATCAAATATCATTCCAAACATCAACTACTGTCCTACCTTTTATAGTGTTTGCACTGTATAATCATGACCTTTACATAAGGATTATTTTGTATGGTGGAATCCGACATTGTTATTACCGGAAGTGTTGTCGTGGAGTTCCACGTGCTGTCTATTTTCTCGGGTCTCACGGAGCTTTTCATCATCTTTATTGCTTAAATGCAAAAAGCGCGGGAAATTGTATCACATCATTGACAAGGATATTACCGGAGAGTAACGAATGTTATGTTAATAAGGGATCCTCATAGAAACCAAGATGGCGTTTTTACAATGAAAAAGAATCTTGGATAATGTGAAGATCAGGATTTTACAGTGCAAACACAATAAAAAAAAGTATGACAGTAGTTGATTTTTTGAATGATATTTGATTCCTCTTAATGAAAAACATCATCTCGAATGAATGCGGTTGTTAGTTTAAAAATATTTCAACCAAAAACATGGTACCAATTTTACGTGACGGCGACTATAGTACCTACTTAATAATGATTAAATAATAGTATTTCACAAGTAATGCAAATTTAAGTACACCACAATAGTCTAACAAATATATTGAGTTTATGAGTGTAAGAGCATCATTAACAAGCACACATTTTGTCTTCCATTAAACCATCGAAATAAACTCTTAATTCAAGGGAATAAATATGTCATATAGACAAAATTAATTTCATGCTTTTCGAGGTTTTTTTTATAATCGAAAAGATATATTTAATGACTCGTGACGTCAAAATCCCTTCAACACAGATGTTTTATTGTCTTGTACTATAAAAGGTTTATGCATAACATTAATATATATATATATATATTATCATATATTCTTTTTGGATACGTACTAATTTGTACACAAGAAAAATTAGTCTTATGATCTAAGGTAGGTAAATTATTAAAGCATACAGTGCAATAAAGATTATTCAATTGTGTTATAAAAATATATATATATACATTTTGCAAGAAACTTTAATCGATATTATATCTTCAAATATCTAAGTGTTTGTTGCAAACTTCAATTTTTTTAAATAATATTTAAATTAGGGGTTACATCTTAATAAATCAGCTGAACGTTTCATCCACCTACTATAACATTTATAAGTGAAGAGGAAACAATCTTCTTGATGATACAAATACGTGTTTATATAACTGCTATATATCTAATGAAGTTATTCCAGTAAATCGCATAGTTCAGATCTCTTATTATATTTATACGTTTGTCAACTGGTCAAAGTAAATACTTTGTCAAACTTTTATGAAAATCAAAAGAGCCAAATCTATTTTATCCAAAGTTTTGGTTACTTCCTTTAAGATGAATTCATTATAAGTCATATCGTTCAAAAATGTATCCAGTTTAGGAGGTGTTTGATATACTCTCTATTGCTTTTTCTTTGGTAATGCTCCACCAATGTGCTGGTATATCTGGGAGTTTGAAGCCATACATTTCTGCAAATTCTTGCTGATATTTACAAACAACCCACATCCAGTATTTTGAAACATCAGACGATGGTAAAATATCCCAGTCTTTATGAGATTTCTTGTAATCTTTGTAGTATTTCCATTTCTCCTTTTCATCATTTTCATGCCATTTGTATGTTTTTTCTGTTGATATGCTGTAATTGCAGAAATCGACTATAAATTTGTCTGTCCCAGCCCAGGCGAATCCCCGGATTCCCATAGGTCGGTGTTGTATACACTGGTGTGGAAACCCAAGTCTGATATGATCGCTGTCAGTATTTTTACATGGTTCGTAGCAGAACATACATTTTGTTTCACATCCCCACAAACGGTTCATAATTTGGGGTATAGGATTTTCATTCCACTGCACGGTACTTGCAATCGTAGTCTGGAAAGTCTTTAAGACTATACTTTCTGTATCTTTTAAGGTATCGAGTACCATTTCCGTGAAATTTCTGATATCTGAAATTTTTCTACTTTGGACATGTATAAGAATGTCATTTGACAATGGTAGATAATTAGATTCCCCAACATGATTCATAAAGTTTTCGATCCAGTGTTAAACATTAGACTGTCCTAGTTGAGAGCAGTTTTCATTGGCTTCTTGTATACTTTCCAACAAGTGACAAAATATATTATGTACTCTACTTTTTGCCAAATGCGCATATTTTGTCTCGACATTTCCCTTACGTTCGAACATTACGTCATTGGTAAGCTTTGTTATCCACGATTTTGCGAAAGTGGTTGGATCGTGAATGTATTCTATATACTCTTCATATTTTTCAGCATTTGCTAAGTATACCATAATATCCTTCATTAAACTAAATTTTGCATTGCTGAACAAGACCAAAATATTTTCTTGAACATCTATTGGCAACAGTTCGGTTACATGTTCAACTACAGCTTTTATCATTGCTTCTTTAAAGAACCCAGCAGCTATTACGTCTTCCGTCTTTTGTTCTACTAAGTTTATAAACAAAGCCAATGCAGTTCCTTTGTAACTTTCCATCTGGCCTTTAGGGCTGTGTTTTTATTGTACCTTTCATTTAATTTCGTAAAAAAAATTGAAACATGCACACCAACATGATTCACAATCATAGCCCTAAACGGTGGAAGGAGATTAAATTTGTAATTATTCCTGGTGTGATCATTATGATCATCGATGTCATTCTCGATTATATTCATTATTTCTGTGGCATATGAAATGTCGAACTTAATATCTTGTGAATCGAGTTTCAATAATCTTGAATCGATTTTTCGGAAGGTTTGATTAACTATGTCCACAATTTGCGTCCTGTACTTGTCGGAGTTCTCTATTCCAAATCCAAAAAAACTAGCAAGTCGACTGAAATGTTCCGTTTTTATTTGATGCAAGCTTATACTTCCTTCAAGTTTTGTTAAATGCTCATGTGATAGGTCTGCCTTGAACCTCTCTTGCATAAGGAATGCTGCATCAGATTGGAATATGTCAAATAACAGATGGTCAATCTGATCGTCAATAGACAAAAACTCAATGTCATCTTTTATACCCAACTGATTCATCCAAGAACTCCAGAAATGATTAAATGTTTCTTCTAGTTTATCTCTTTCTGGAATTGTTCCCTGCATTTTGACTGCTAGATTTCTTGCAAGTTCGTTTATTTTCATTTCGTGATTCGTCTTCTCCATTGATTTCAATTTCTGGATTTTAATTTCTTCTTTAATATTGCCGATATCTGATTTTGCTTTGAGGACAAACATTTTGTTTAAAAGTATCAAACTATTTTTCTTACTCTCGGTCCATTGCATCATGACATCTTTCAATGTACTTCGTTCAACAAACGAATCTAGTTCGTTGCACGAAATTTTCACTTGTTTTTCTATTTCACTGGCAACCTGAGTAAGTATCTTTAGAAAAGCATTTTCTAATTCATGATCATTTAAGCAGTTTACAAGCGAGCTTTTTGCCTCAGACCTGACAAACTCCAGAACGTACTTTTCTAATGTCCATGTAAGACTCTGGTATTTTCGTTCCATACTGTTGTACGCTTTTACTTCTAAGCTGTTTCTAAAGCTGAAAACGAAGTCATCTTTTAAAATACCGTTCCATAAATCTTCAATTCGTGAAATGGTATCAGTAATTGTAAAATATGTTCCTCTCTGCGTCAATGATGAACCAAAGAACAATGCGTCTTTAACTCTATTTACACATGTACTGTAACCCGGATTTACCGGGGCCATTGGCGGATCACCATACCAAAGATCGGAAAAATACCAAACATTTGTCTCGCTATCAAAATCGATAACTTGTCTGAAAGAATTGATGTCTGCAATATTTAATACCGTCGCTGCCGCTAGCGTCATTTTATCCAAAGTTCTTACAAAACGTGTTCTTTGTTGTGTCAACTTATCATTGGCATCCGGAGCTGAGACATTTTGGTGAACAAACACACACTTTTGTTTCAGGTTCAGTCGGTCATTTGCAAGTTTTAGCCTGAGAAAGGCATGAACAACAATCTGTAAAACATCTTCTACTTCTGCTGTATTATCTCCCTTCACATTGACAATCGTAACATCACCTAATCCAACCACAAATGTAGCAAGCTCGTTGTCATGACTGCGCTTTTCATGTGCTAGTTCTGGAGCTCGAAGACCTTCGGTATCTATAACAAGCACATAATCATAAGCTTTTGTGTTGTCTAAAACTGGTACAAGTTGCATAAACACACCTCGTGTGCAACGTCCTGTACCTACAGCAAACTGCAAACCAAACATTGCGTTCAGTAGGGTTGACTTTCCAGAACTCTGTATCCCTAAAACGGACAATGCCAGTAGCTTTTTATCTCCTATGCTTTCCCTTAACGTTTTCAAAACTTCTTTAACCCAAAGAAGTGGTACATTTGCTGTATCCCCGTCCATTACTTCAAAAGGATGTCCCATCAATAGAAGTTTTGCGCTAATATGCGGTAATGCAGATTTAATTGTTTGATATTTTACAGGTGTCGGTAGGTTACTCTCCATCATGGCTTCGTACATTTGGCCCATTTCGCGGCATAAATGTTCAAATCCAAAAGAAGCTTCCGCTAATTCATATTCACGTTCACTGAGCTGATGTTGCAATCTATCAATTGTTACTTTAGAGTCTTGAGCAGATTTCAATTCCTGCCATTTTGACTTGTATCTTTCGAGATATTCTGGAAGAATATGCTGCGACCGTTCATCAAAAAACATCTTCAACCAAACAACAAACACTTTAGTTTCTTTTTCGTATGGTCAAATTTGTAGTATTTTATCAATAAACATGCTCATGAAAGGACCGAGATTTTCACAAATATGAAACTGCGATAGTCTGGCTTCGATCATTTTATTTCTGATAAGACCATTTTCTTGCATATTTTTGTACTTCGACGATTTGTTGACCGTTTTTAAATTCTGGCTCCATTCTTTCCAAGGCACACCCTGGAGTGGTAGGAGCTGTGCTTTAATGCTTGAGGACATGTTTGGAATAAAGCTTGTTATTTGGTCAGCCGCTTCTTTCATAGCACTGTATACAATCTTGTTTTCGTCTAAATTCATTTCTTTACACATATCTGCTTGTAACCTCTGCCAGAGAGACAACAATGAACGTTTTAATACAAATTCAGAAATGTTATTTCTCATTTCTTTTTTTACGTCAGAAATATTTCTTACAATACCGTTCACTGCCATGATATTTATTTTAGTTCGGGCCTCATGCATGGCTGATCTACTTAAGAACGTTTTTAATTCTTTTTTCAACACCTCTTTATTACACCGGATAGCATCAATGGACAAAATGACCATCACGTTTGTGTTGTAAACTTCTGTAATTAGCTCCATAAACCGTTCGTTCTTCATTTCATGAATATCCACCATAATGACAATAGCATCTGAGAAAAGTGACATAAAACGGAGCTGTGGTCTGTGTATATCACAATCACCTCTTAGATTTAGACATGCAGTGACATTAGAAAGAAGTCTACTGTTCGTCGATGGTATATACCAGGCCATGTCAACCAATCCATTGCTTATCCATCTTTTAGTTGAACCAAGAGGACTGTCTTTGTTGAAGAATGTACAATGATACTGGTCTGAAATTATCTCATTTATCATTCTAGACTTCGAAACTGATGTATACCCAATCCGAACAAATGAAACAACATTACAAGGGCAATCAACAGCACCAATATGAGATAGTTCTCTCTCTATTAAAACTTGTCGAATAGGCCAAATAGATACTAACATGGCTTCGTTTCTGCATTGTGGAAAGACAAATGGAATGGCAAGACGGCACATAAACATTTTTGAGGCAATAATTTGTTTTACTACTGGAGAACAACAATTGAATATAGCAACGGTCAAATCAATTGGATTCACTCTATTTAATAATGCATCACTTCCAAGTAAATCATCTAAAAAGTCAACCTGCATATCAAATTTATCAGGTACACATTTAGAATGTTCTAAACGTTCTTCTAAAATTGTATCGCGAGCATGATAGTTCAAAGAAATTATGTTCTCTAAAAATACCCATGGGATATTACTAAGCTCAATGTTAGAATGACTTGGTTGGATCTTTACTATATCAAATAAAGCAATCTTATCAGGGTAATACATTTCTAACCCTAACTCACTCAAAAGTTCAGTTTCAGATTTACATGTCGGAGTTTTTTTCATTTTCCATTTGTTGGTCCATGTTTTGAAATGATGCACTGACTTTAGTGCAGTCGTCTGCAGATCTCTTTATTGGGCATTGTGCCCCTATTGCTGTAACATAAAAGAATAATAGACAAATGTGTGCGAAACAAAACAAAAATTTTGAACAAACTGGAGTGCCTACGATAAGTATCGATAAAACAGTAATGTCTGAAAAGGACTGTTTGATACATATACGATTCGTCAGTCATTTAAAGTGATAACGATCATAATATTAAAAATCATTTTTACATATATTTTCCTTTTGGTCATTTCAGAAGAGCTCGAGTATTTAATAGTCATTCGGAGTTGATTGTTACATTTCTTATTGCCATTCGACCTATACCGATGCAGCCTTACACTAAATCTAATATCATAAACTAATAAAAACGAGCTCTATATCTAACCGTACAATTTGAGGTTTCAAGCGACTATAAACTTAATCTTCATAGCACAATACGAGCTTTTGACCTGTTTGCATGCAAAAAGTACAGTGTTGTGATTTTTTTGCCGATGTAAATTTGACATTTATGAAATAATTGGATGATACAATTATTTGTTATTTTTTGGACCTACTTAAAGATAAATAACAAAAAATACTGAACTCCGAGGAAAATTCAAAACGGAAACTCCCTTATACCAGAGGCTCTAAAGAGCTTCTGTCGCTCAACTTGGTCTATATGCATATTAAACAAAGGACACACATTATAGACAAGAATAGAATTCTTACAAAATTCTCTGTTTTGGTAATGTAGATTTTTCTTTACTGAACATTCTTGATGTTTACAATTTTGTCTATATATAATAATGAACTTGGCCCATTTAAGTTTAAGAGGAAAATCTTATTTTTCTAAATTTACAAAAAATGACGGACAAATTGTGAAAAATATTAAAGGGAAATTACTCTGGAAGGGGTCAATTGACAATTTTGAACTTTGAATTTATTAGCCTGCAGTGTTCCAAACTAATATGAAATGACAATAAGTAGAAACCCTTCAATTAAAAAACTGTGAAAGCCAATGATATATAATAACATGATAACAGAAGACACTATATTGCTAAAGGGTATCTACAAAAAATGCCAAAATCCGTCTTAGGGCTGTTTTGAGATTGTAACACAGTGACGACTGCTGTACCCATATTTTGACTACTGTTTATTTTGTCTGTTTTGTTCACGCATCGTTGTAAATATAACGGAATTTGATGCGACTGTGAGAGGTTTGGCGCTATAAAATCAGGTTCAATCCACCATTTTTACATTTGAAAATGCCTGTACCAAGTCAGGAATATGACAGTTGTTGTCCATTCGTTTGATGTGTTTTGTCATTTGATTTTGCCATTTGATTAGGGACTTAACGATTGAATTTTCCTCGGAGTTCAATATTTTGTGATTTTACTTTTTACTTAACCGTGCTGGTAAGTAGAAAAGTTGACATCCTCTGAGAAACCGCTAGCATGCATTTCTGATTCCTGCTACATGTCAATCAAAATTAGTGCTTTAATATGCTAAAGAATTTTTGAAGTAGACAGGGTGAGGATAATCATTATAAAAAGGCATGGAATGAATAAAAAGATAATATTATACGATCACAAAGTTTTTCTCTTCGAAAAATAAAAACTTGTAGAATTTATATAAAAAGTCTTTTATTGTTCTTTAAAACTTTTCATTAATATCTTAGAGAAATGGAGACTTCATATCAAATGTGATGTGAATACCAATAAAATTAATATTTCAAAAGGGGCATTACTCGTTAAAATATTTGATCAGAACTTAGTTTCGAAATTGTCAAAGACATTGCTGATATAATCCTATAATATTTTAAGTTTCATAAAAATTCTGGCAAGAATTAAATATACAATGTATGAGAGATCTTACAATGCAATTATTTTTTATAAAATTAGTATTTATAATGAGCATAACTATTTTAAAATAATTGATCGGTAGTTATTTCGATCTCGTCAAATGCATTGATCAACTTAACCTATGATATAACATGCATAACAATCTAGCAATATTTGAACACATGAAAGCGCTTATGATGTATGATGCAATTTTCCATATCAACGGAAAAAAGTAAAATTAGTTTTCTTTGAGATGCTAGGCACTGACGTAGTTTACCATCATAGTAAAGTTTATTAATGTTCTTTTATTTGTCTTTGTAAATTTTTAATATTTACTGTTTAGACAATTTTTGATAATATCCTACTTATTCATCCTTTCAATGTTTTGTTGGGCTGTGGTCATTTTTTGTATTCTTGTCTTTCATTTTTGCCTTTGTGATTTGTCTATATACCGTTGTTGTGTGTTTCTTGTTGACTGATGTGTTTGTTTTTACAGTTATAATTATTTTAGCACATAGTTGATTGTTGTTCCCCGTTTTTTATATTTTTACCTGTTTTGTCTGTTTGTTTTATTTTGACATTGTTGACAATATAATGGAATTTTACATGACTATCACACAAGTAAGAGGTTTATACAGCTATAAAACTTGGTTTAATCCACCATTTTCAATATAAGCAAATGCTGTGTACCATGTCAAGAAACGACATTTGTTTTCCACTCGTTTGATGTGTTTGCGATTTTGACCTTGCCATTCGATAAGGGACTTTCCGGTTTGAATTTTCCTTAAAGTTCTTTTTTTTTTTTTTTTTTTTTTTTTTTGATTTTTTTGTTATTTTACTTTTTGCCTCATGACAAGTCAACAAAAAGATATTAAACTTACAGAAAGAGTTGCTATAGAACATGACATACCTTGTCATGCACATCTTATTTGCTGGTCAGGCAAAATGAAATTAACTGGAGAAACATTCTGAATTATCAAAAAATAAAAATGATTAATGTTAATGTCAACTTCCAATACTTCAAATACACAGCAATTACAAAGGAACAAGTTCAGTAACACAAAATTAACATTGAACTTACTTTTATTCATTCATGCAGATATTATACCAAATTTAATGATGAGTAAATGCAGTTTTCAAGCAGTGTGACAACAACAAACAAAACACTTTAAAAGTTTTTAGCCATGTGGTGAAAGACCAATCTCAGATAATTTTTCTCGTACTTGATATCTGTACAAAAACGAAGCCTATCAACACGTACTCGCAGATCTATAGCATTGTGTTAGCCCTGTATAACCTTATGTTATCCGATGGAGAAGGTCTTTTATAAAGTTGTCACAAATTTAGACGTATATATGAATTTTAAAATTTGCTCGTTATTCTTTATATCTTTTCTGGGTAAAAGTATACTTTCTTGAATTTTTTTTAATTCATAAAATAAAATCCAAGCAGCTCAGCTTGGTAGCCTTTATTTTCTGACATCTAACTCGGACTTCTTTTAAACTGGGATTTAATGTGCGTATTGCTGTGTGTTTATTTAGTCTACATTTGCTAGAGGTATAGCTATTCTCATGTTATTACATGTTGTCAAGTCTCGACGAATGATGCTGATCCAAGTTATAAAAATGAATTCAAATACCAGCAAAACATCAGCATATCAGAGTAACAACAATGTGACATTTCAGTGGAAATTTTTGGAAATTAAGCCTTTTTCCAGTAGAGGATGTTGCAAAATCTAAAAATAGCATAAAATCGAATGTTAAAGAAAGATTTTTTTATGCGACTATCAATACATGTATGCAAATTTCATTACATTTGATTGACATGTCACTTATAAGCCTGTTGCATGGTTTTATTGAAGAATGGGTGTTAAGAGTAATTAAGCCATATCTATAACTTTTGTTGACCCAGAAACAGGTGCACCCCATTTAAATAACCTAGCGTGCCTGTAAAATATTATTATCAAAACACTGAACGATTAAATCCCTATATGATACCTATTGTAGTGAACATTGTGTACGTAAAAAAAGATAAAATAGGCACTGACGGTCCATTTAAATATAGCATTCATAAACCACAAAAAAAGTATTCAATCCGGTGGAACAAAAAAAACATTTATTCGACGGACATTATCCAATTTGTGAATCATGTCATGCTAATAAAAACAGAGTACTGCACAAGTACATTTCAAACACTTGAAATCGTAGTCTGAACGATTTTTAAGCTTAAAAAATTTTGAACAGTACATTATTATCTATCTTAATTTTTCAGATCAACGAACTACGAACGGTTTTTAAATATGATTTACAACAATGTATTTTGAAGCGGTATAACAATGACCGCTGTTTCTGTTCAAGCATAGCAACGACATCGTTAAGGGGAAATTGTAATTTGAAAAAGGCAGCTTTTGTATGTAAAAAAAAATACAGCCATGGGAGACACAGGAAACTGTGTTGATTTTTTTTACAATTATTTGCACTTTAACTCCAAAGATATCTATAGGTGTCGCTGGTCACATAAGACACTGATCATACATATTTGTGAGGGACCATGTGTTTTTCATTGATTTTTTTTCCCCATACAAACTTAAATAATGTATGCCTTATTAGTTTTTTGTGTCATATTGGACTTTGTTGTAATGTCTGCATATGTTAGCGACTTGGTTAGGAGAGGTAATATTTTTAAAACTATATCTTAATGGTGTCATTATGTTATTTGTACGAGTGGTGGTGTTGGTGGTAGGGGTGCCAACATTTTTTTTTTTATATGTACGATCCAGGCGGCTTTTAAATATCATAATATTAATATCTTGATGTTCATTCCATAAGATAAACATCGAGACATTTTGATCTCCAACATATCCTAGTAAAAACCGCTCATGAACTTTCAACAAATATTTGATTCATATTTAGTGTCAACTATAGATATATAAATCATGTATGAAGGTAGTTTAACTAATAATTATAAACAGTTTACTTTATGGAAAACAGTGAAGTGCAATCATGCACAATGTGTTATAAATGTCCATATTGAGAGAATATGCACATGCAGTTTGTTCGGAGTAGTGATATTGATTGTATTTCTACTATTAATATATTTTCCTTTGTCTTCTACATATTTTAATATTCCATTATTAACTA